AGACTTTTGGGAGCCAAAGGGAGGGCGAGAACAAATAAAACACTCCACCGAAATTTGAAATTAGGAGCTTACATATTTTTGTAATTCGGCGCTGAAGTAATGAAACATTGAGCGCGGTGAAGAGAGTATAGACGAGAGAGCGCAAGCAAGTGAGAGGGCGGAGACACCTAATGTTGCGAAAGAGGAAAATTGGAGCTGTCGAAGCGGTCTGGAAGTACCTGGAGCACTTTTGATCCGGAAAAACGAGGTTTACGCGAGTTTCAGTGGAAAACTCGATGCTACCCAAATCCCTTTGATTCAAATTGTTTACAGAAATGGAGTTGAGAAGTCCTGGTGTTTACTTGCCCTATGCGTGGGCACATGGTCGGCCGGAGAAGATGACATCGTCGACTTGCCAGGGCTTCAGTTTGTGGTCAATTTCAAGACCTACTCTGGCTACCTCAACGCGAATGATAAGGGCAATTGGCAGATGCACTACATGTAAGTGAATGACTGTCTCGCTGTCTGACTCTGGCCGCACTAACAGAGAGCGTTAGCGCTTATGAGTCAGCACCTAGCACACAAATCACCAGTAGTGAACGGGTCACTTGACCGCTTTTCATGGTTTTTCTTCATCCTTGCACCAATAACCTCCTCAACCATAATTCCTGGTCAGCTGTTTTAATAACTCCATCTTTAAGGTTGACAGAATCGCGGTCCGATCCCTCTTCAGATCCTCTCATTGTCTGGTTCAATGGAGGACCTGGATGCTCCTCCTATGTGGGACTTTTCGAAGAGCTTGGACCATTTTATGTGAATTACGACGGACAATCTCTCTATGAGAACATCTACGCTTGGAATACGGTATTATTTTGTGCACATGTGGTTTGCATATACACATGTGTAATTAACTGCTTCACGTTTTCAGAAAGCAAATGTGCTCTACTTGGAATCTCCAATTGGTGTTGGGTTCTCGTATGACACCTTACAGGACAGCTATTCTGTTGCAAATGATGATCAGACTGCCGATCAGAATTACGCTGCCCTGAAAGACTTCTTCACTCGGTACGTTAACTAAGCGTATCGACGGCATTGCATATGTTCAGGACGATCTCACAGTGCCACTGTTAGCAGCTTGCTAGAAGGAATCTTTCGAGGTGATCCTGCCAGAATAACGAAATGGTGCTTAAGCGCAAACAAAGCGTCACCCCAGCGTCTAAAATCTGCCTAGAAGACGGCAATATTGGGCCTGAATAGCTGCTAGCTATGCCTTTGCATAAGCCCAATTTCTGTCAAACTCTTTCTCTCTTGTCTCTGTAATCCCTCGGTCCTTCGCCATACAAGTATCTCGACCGAAGATGCACCCTCTCACCGTATGCTCGCATTCAATGACCTGAATCATTTATGAGATTAGGGACTTAACCATTTTCGCTTCTTTTCCCAAGTTTCTTTCGCTTTTTTCTTTGTTCTCGGGTCGTATATCACGGAGATGAATTTTCGAATACAGATCCACTGCAGAACCCCACTACTCACATCCCCCAACGTGATATGGGCTTTTAAGGGTTCAACCACAGTACAAAAACCGCACATTCTTCCTGGCTGGTGAATCCTATGCTGGAGTATATGTGCCTATGCTATCGATGCGCATCGTCAAAGGAATCAACGAGGGAGACTTCCCAAATCGCAATTTTCAGGTGGGTTTTGCTGTCACTATATTCAGAAAAAAGAAAAGGAAAGCGAAGTTCATGCATTGGGCTTTCTATCTGGTTGCCACGCAATAACTGGGTCATTCCTCTGCTCATTCACTTGCAAGCTGACATCGATGTTTTACAGATGAATGTAATGATTATTGAGGCTAGTGAAAAGCTACTGAGGCTTCGATATCATGAGGACCTTAGCAGTCTTAGCGTTGGTACTTTAACAGAAATTTTGCGGCTCCCTTCTCCGATAGGGGTCTCGGTACGACCCTCCCCTCACAAGCATCATCCTCAATG